TGAAACTCAACAAAGCAAATCTGCCCTGGGGAAGAGACCAGGGCTGGTGATACATAAAACCCTTACATTGGAGTAAAACTTTCTCAGATTCATCTGTTAAAACCTGTACAGTAGTGCTTCTATTTAACTCATTGTTTAAAAGGAAACTCTTCAGATACTGTTTTCTCAAATTCAGTTAAAATGCAATTGTTGGGAAGCTGGTTAGAGGAAAGGTATTTTCTTCAACTTTCCTCTGAGAATCTGCTACCAGAAATGTTCTTCCCTTTTCGTGGGCCACATCTGCTCCCTGAGGCATATTTCTTGCTCCTTGGTGTGCTTACAAGAACAGCACCTCGCCAGGGGGTTTATAAATCAATCAATAGGGAGTCTATATTCATAAAAGCCTCTGATCTCATTACACCTTCTCCCGGTTCCCTCCTCCAAAAAGTAGAATCCCCCGTGGGCCAGGAATTCCAAGCGTGGTCCTGCCAGCAGGGAGCCAGGAGACTGCGGCTGGGTCGTCCGTGGATTAGGATGTGGATTGCAGGACAGACCTTTGTTCAGTCGCCTCTGCGACAGAGGATGGGGGCAGGGTCGTCTTCTTTCGGGATCACTCTGGATCTTTACAGACTCGCCTTAAAAGGGCTCACCGCTCACCGCAGGGTTCATTTATGAGGCTTTCCAGGCATATTGGGACTTTTAAGACAGATTTTTGGCCATTAATTTATTTTTATTTTTTATTATTTTGCTATGCTCTTAAAAAGAGCCCGAGGTTTCAGCGCATGATCCGATGAGGATGGGGATGTGCGAAAGCAGAACTGAGAGAAGATTCTCTTTCTAATCATAGGACCTGGGTTTCCCAGTATATTTCTAATAATTAAATTTATACTCATCATTAAAGCTCAGAAACTGGGCGGAAATCGAGACAAATGTGTGCTGTACGGAGCCCTGCTCAGGTCCCACCAACCTGAACTCCGTATCAGAAGAATGAAGAAACCGGGGCCTTGGGAATTTTAAAAGTTGTTTAAAAAATGAAAAAATAAGCTAGAGAGCCAAGGCACAAGCGAGTAACAGGTGGGGAGCAGGGAAGGGAGACAGTCCTTATCCCAAGGGGTGCGGACCTAGGCCCGGGCCGGGCCACCCTCTGGGTACAGGGAGATGGGCTGCCAAGAGGCTGGGTCACTCCAGCTGCCACTGCGACCCCATCCTGGGGAGGCAGGGCTTCATGCTATAGATTACATTAAAGGTTCCTTTAAGCACTTTAATACACAACTAGCTCAGAAATCATTAAGAGACCTCGAGAAGGAGAAAAAAATACCCTCACACTCACCAGGAATAAGTGTTGACACGCAGCAAAAATCGATTGAGGTGGTGCAAGTAGCAAAGGCCCAGGGGCCGGCGTGGGAGCGGGAGGGGTGAGGAATCCCTGGGACCCCGCGCGTTCTCTTGCCACGGGGGTGGGAGGAAGGAGGTGCAGCCCGGTGGGAGGGCCCGCGGCCAGCAGCCTGGAGAAGGTGCAAATCTTCCTTCTGGAAGCCCAGGAAACAGCGGAGGTGGTGGAGAAAGGGCCTCTGTAGTTCCCAAGTCTCCGCCCCCAGCCTGCGCCACGGCCGTGGGCAGTGACACCTCCCCAGACCTCCCTTCTCTGTCCCGCAGATCCAGGGGTTTCCCGTGCGGGTTCTCCCGGAGCCAGCAGCCCAGGCCGAGACGCACTCCTCCCCCGGTCCTCCGGGCCCCGCCAGTCCCCTGGGCCCCTAGCAGGTCCCCAAACTCTGCTCCGGGCGCCCTCCACCCCGCCCCTACCCCGAGGAGGTGCGGGGCCAAGACCCTCGGGCTGGGGTCCCGGAGCCAAAGTCCGCTGGTGGGGACCGCTTTCCTCTCCACTGAGCCCAACTGAACAACAGGACAAGGCAGCTTTCGTCCAAAGGGCTTCGATTTGCCCCCTCCAGCCGCGTGACTCTGCGGCTGGTCTCAGAGCTTCGAAAAGAGAAAAAGAAAGTTAATGTGGCCAGGCCGGGTCTCCCCTCGGGACTTTATCTGCGGCAGCCTGGAGTGGCTGCCCCTTTCCTCACAGAACAAAGACGCAGTGTCTGTGCTCCCAAAGCTTCTAGGTATAGTTTCAGGCAGATAAAAGCAACCTAAGCGCAAAAACACAGGTTTTCTCGGCTCCAGAGAAGCAGCGGCTCCCGGTAGCTCCCCGCTCGGGTCGTGGTGCTGGTCCTCAGGCCCTGCGGTGGGGGAGGAGGTGACAAGGATAACAAAAGGCCGCAGCACTCCCCCGCCCCCAGACCCTCCTAGCCACGGTGATGGATTCCTTGCAAATAAGTCCTATTTGCTACGATTTGTTATAGGGGAAAAGTAAAAAGCCCTGCTGAAGGAGGAGCGGTGCTCAAAGTTCTTTTAAACACTCGCCGCCGCCGCCGACCTGCTTTCCCAGTTTAGATGTCAGCAGATAGGAGGGGGGCCGGGGCTGTAATTCATCTTGATTTGCTTCATTGTCCTGCAGTTTGCAAACTATAATCCTGTATAATTTCAGGAACAAGCAGGTTTGGAATTAATGGGTCAATATTATTTAAAACAAAACACAGGGAGCATGACCTTTGCCTCAACTACATATTGCCCGACAAGACTCAGGAAACTCCGTTCTAACCTCTCAAGCCCCAGCTCTTTGAGAAACTGAAGGGCTGTGGTTATTAGAAATGGTCTTTGTTTCTTTTAATGTCTCCAAAGGATTTGGAAATAGTAATGTAATATAACATGAAGAATCTCTCTACTTAACCCTGAAAGATAAACGCGGAGGCCTAAATATTTTGAAATGGAGGTGTTGCCTTGGAAATTTATTATAGATGTATTCTTCCTGAGAGGAATGTATATAAACTGTGCACGTAGACATGCACACATATTTCTCCAGAACAATTTACTGGAGCTGCGGCTTCCCTTTTGAAGGAGTAAACTCGAGAGCCACTTCAAGCTGGCATACTTGGAAATTTCTCTCACCTTCCTTCTCACAGTCCGCTAGCCATAATGGAATCCTCTGCGTTTAACCCAAAGCAAAATCTGGGAGGCAAGACCGGACTTCGCTGGGTTGTTTTTCCTTCTTCTCAGAGTGCCCTCTCCTTTTAGTTTCTGATGAATGGCTATAATTTATTTCTACCAAATTTAAATAAGTATTGCTGCCCTGTATGTTTAACAAGGCAGGCAGAGGAGACTGGTTTGTTTAGGAGGCAGGGGTGACTGAGAACACCCCTGCCAGGCGACAGAGGAAGGGAGAAAGAATCCAGACCGATTTGTATGCAGTATATTTTACTCCCATGAAATAAAACACATTTTTTCATATTTGCTGAAAAGTAAAACAATAATATTGTACGAAATGTTATACACAGGGTAGGTTGTACAGAGCAGTTTCAGAAACATCATTGCATCCACCAGAGAAACTATTCTAAAACTGATATTCACACATTTTTATAATAATATGTTAGAAACATACAGTGTGGCATTTAGTATATACATTCCCTTGCTTGCAAGCGAAAACGCCTAATCGCTTCTGTATAACATGCTTTATTTTAAAGCCTAACCTTTAAAAACACTGTTGTGATATTACTAACAACTGCTTTTATAAAATTAATTTGACATTTCGATATATATACATCCTTTCAGTAATTTTAACGTTAACAATGCTAAACTTAAAAAATAACAAGCTTATAGTAATGTTAAAATGTCATATCCAGTCAAACATTTGAGTGTCTCTGTCCTTGCAACTGCTGGAAATACTTTTCGCAAAAAGTGTCAGCCAGTGAGGACATTCCTTTGAAATCAAAGGAGCTCTCTTGAATTCAGTGGTTTCCTTTTCTCCCTACATCTTCTTTTCCTTAGTGCCCATGACCTTCTAGCGCAACTCCCAGTCTTTCCATGGAGGGTGGCCCCTCCAGGCGGCCAGCAGTCCCAGGACCCCGGCTGCACAGCTCACACAGGCCGGTCCACCGCGTACTGGCAAGCGCTCAGGTTGGATGCGGGGTTTTGCACGCTGGCATAGCCGAAGCTAGAGTGCTGCTTCGCTTTCAGTCTCAGGCTGGCCAGGCTCGAATTACACGTGTCCCTATAAACGTAAGGGGGTGTTGGCGGCGCGTAAGGACAGGCAGGCGTCGGCACTGCGGAATTCAGTGACGGGCTGCTCAGGTTGTTCAAGTTATTCAGGCTATTGAGGCTGGAGCCCGGGACACCCGTCACTGCCGAGGGCACCATGCTGGACGACATGCTCATGGACGAGATGGAGTTGGGCGGAGAGAACATGCTCTGCGAGGACAGGGGGTTGACATTCATGGAGTTGAAGAAGGGGAAGCTTTTGGTGGACAGGGAGGCCGATGTGAGGCCCTTCGCGGCCCAGTTGTTGTAGGAGTAGCCAGGGTACATGTCGTCGTAGGGCTGCATCAGCCCGTTGAACTGTGGCCCAAAGCCGTTCTTGCACAGCTCGGCCTGCTGGTTGCGCTCCCGCTTTCTCCATTTGGCCCGGCGATTCTTGAACCAAACCTGGGATGGGCGGGAAGGGGTGGGCAAACAGAAGCCACAGCTCTGATTAGTAAACACTTGGTCATGGAAAGCACCAGGAGGCCGCTTCAGACAGGCACTCTTGAGTTCTTGCATGCACACACACCTCACCACTCCACCCCCTCATCTCGTAGGCCACAGCTGTCCATGCCCTGTACCGGCAGGACTTATTTACCCACCCCACCTCGGTCAGGGGCAAGGGGCCCAGCCAGGTCGGCCTCTGAGCTGCACCACAAACTCCAGTCAAGCGCCTCGAGGCCTGTGGGTAGCCCGATCACCAAGCCAGATCTCCTTGGGGTCCAAGAACACTTACTGTAAAATAACCAGGGTCAGTTGGTTCCCTGCCCAAACCAGCCTGGACCACCTCAGAAACTTGCTTCCATTCCAAACCCACAGGCCTAGTATCCTCCAAAAGGGCTGAGAGGGCAAGGGGGAACCTGCTCTGTCTGCTGTCCATTCTCCAGGACCTGTACCTCACTCCTATCCCCAGCCGGCAACCTTTCAATGCTGGGACCAGACATTCCTCCCAGAAAACTATCCAATAAAACACAAAAGACCACCTCCTCCTCTCCTTGAATGTGGAGAGCTTGGTGTGCAAAATTCCAGGACCCAGGATCCATGTACCTGTACCCCACCTGACCTCCTTCCACCCACCTTGGGCCCAGCCCGGGCATGGCTTTTCAGGTTTCACCTAGGCTCGCCAACCCCCAACCACAGCTGGTGGCCCCACCACAACCCCACTCCAATCCACATCACGCCGACAGTCTGGGCTTTTGTGTATTGGGACGAAGCCTGGCCCACGATGTTTCAGAGCTGACTACGGTGCTGTTTCACATTACACATCTCCCCAGGCCCAGCTGCCTAATCCGCTTTCTTTCTTTTTTTCCTTTCATTCTGGATTTGCTTTCCATTGCCCTTCCTCTCTGGACCCGTCTGCTATAAAAAGCACTCCCGGCAACCCTGGGGCAGGCAAGGCACCGCTTCAGGGGAGGAGAGCCTGGTTTAGTGGCCCAGGATCTGGGGGAGCTGCACAGAAGCCTGGAGGGATTGGGAGGGCTTTCTGAAGGTTCTACGGAGCCCAAATTGTGTTTTCATTTTAATTACTTTCCATTTCTACCCTAGGTCCTCTAGACTTTGCCCAGGAGGAAAGCGAAGGTGCAAGACCCGTTCCCTGATGCTCCAGAAGGCTAATGAAGACTGACCCTGCACGACCACGACCACGCGGCCCAGGCGGGTGCAAGCTCCAGGCGGTTAAACTAAAACCACTTCTAGTTCCTCTGGCTCTTTATCAACCAGCTCAGCTCATACACTGAGCAAGTGCCACCGGAGAGTCCATTACCTCTGCTTTGGAGCTGATTTTGCTTTTTTATTCTTTTCGTTTTTACTGGTATCTATTTTTTTAATCGGGAACTTCATTATTTTACACGCAGAACAATATTTTCGTAAACTTTACAGCCTCTGGATGCTTTTTGGCTCTGCTTTCTTTTGCTTCCAGAATCCTAACAAATTTTAAATATTCCACCGTCGACATAAATCAGGATGTCGCTATTGGGTAATTTAAATTCATATTTTTGCCAATCTATAAAGTTCAGATTTGCTACAAAATTAAGGTAAGCTCTTTCTTTTTTTTTATAAACCTATGATTATAATTAGAAGGGGTTATCGGTTTTCAAAGAGTTCAACTCCTGAGAAAACATAAATAAACCAAACTGAAAACTTTCTGCTTTTTTTCTTCTAAGAAAACCGGCAGAATAATAATAGCTGTGCATTAAAGCTTGACTTCCAGAGACCACAAATCAGGAGGCAGGGTGTAAGAGAGCTCTGAATGCCCTCCTCAAAAGAAAACCAAAAAAAAAAAAGACACCCCAAAGGGCTGTATGGAACTCATCGAGAGAAAAGCCTGGGCCAGGCCGCCGTGCAGGCTCCCCAGGGAGGGCCAAACCTTGGTGTCTCTGGCGGGTTTTTCCTTGTTAAAGGCCCACAGGTTGGAGCCTGTTCGTAGCTCCTGGCTGGCAGGAATGTTATTAGTGCTCCTCTGGTGACTGCAAGCGGGGAACACAATGCCCTTTGCAGAAGAATGCCCACGTGGCCCAGCCCAGGAGGGCGCGGGCTGGGCGCCGGCTAGGCAGTGCGCGGTGCCTGTGTCCCGACACGAGCACAGCAAGGGAGAGAGGGGAGCTCAAGCCCCTAACCACGCCACCCGCTGCGAGGCTGAAGGCCTTCCGCTAGCGGACCTGCTCCCCATCAGAGCCCCAGATCCCTGATCAGCAAGGCCTGCAGCTCCACCTTGCCCACTGGCTCTTACCCTGACTCGGGCTTCCGTAAGGTTGGTCCACACGGCGATCTCTTCGCGCGTGGACATGTCTGGGTAGCGGTTCCTCTGGAAAGTAGCTTCTAGCTCCTGCAGCTGCTGGCTGGTAAAGTGAGTTCGCTGCCGCCGCTGCCTCTTCTTCTTGGACGGGTCCTCGGCGCCCACGTCCTCATTCTTGCCTTGTTGGCTCTTATCTTTCTCTGCAGAGGACACACACAACCATTTGGGTCAGCCTACAAATCACCCGAGCCCCTGCTGGATTGGGCAAGAGGGACGGCGAGGGGTCGACCGGGAGCCGGAGGGTGTTTGTGCGTTGCGGCTCCGCGCCGCAGGGAGCGCTGCGCCCCGGTGTGCAGGTCGAAGTGTGGGTGCGCGCCCCGTCCCCGCCCCTCCCCCCCGCTCTGCACATTTTATTTACATGTTTATCTCACGCTGGCGGCATGCTCTTTTTTATAGCCGGTGCTTTCAAGTATATTTATACACCTCCGCGCAGACACACCAACTCTCCTGAGACGCGCACACGCGCGCGTTTCACAGACTCCCCACGAGGAAAGCTCAGATTTCGACAAGGTTTGGGAAGGCCGGGAAAGTAGATGTTGGGATGTGGCTGGGCACCCAAGCTCGGCAGGAGAAATGCCTCTTTGCCAAGCTCTTTTCTGAGTAGTTGGAAAAATACTTTTCTAAGGATCTTAGCTCCTCCCGAGCTGAAAGCAGAGGGTAGAGCAGGACTGATGTGGGGAGGCCTGGGGAACGTCCTAAAATCGAGATTCTGGGACTCCGGAGACTCAGAAAACAGACGCAGGCCAGGGTAGGAACGGGAGGAAAGGGTCTGTTGAAGGGAGAACGAAAGAGACTAGGTCCTCGCACCCGGCTCCCGGAAGTCCCGCGGGCAGCTCGCAGGACGACCACTCCCACCTCGCCTCCCCAGGAGGGGCCATTTCCTCGGACAGCTGGAGTTGGTGGCGCGGGCCGCCCCACTCTAGTGTACACCCGGCGGCGCGGCGCGGTGCAGCGCGGCGCCTTACCTGCAGCCTCCGGGCTGGAGGTGTCGGAGATGGTATGCACCTCTAGCCGGTGCTTGGAAGAGTCCAGGGAGCGGGGCTGGCCTGGGGCCAGCAGCGAAGCCATTGCTAAAGGTTGGGGATGGTGACAGGAGGAGGACGTGGAGGCGGCCGACAGTTTGGTCCCGGCTGCTCGGTGCTCCAAGTGCAGCGGGCCTTTCATGCAGTTCATGGACGAGAGAACGTGCTGCCCTCCGGATCCCGGGCCGCCGCCCTCCAAGTCCCCGCGGCCACCGCCCGGTGTTGTGGGTCGCGCGCTCCAGGCGCAGAGCTGCCTCACGGTGGCCACTGCAGGAGGAGCGGGAGGATATAGCCCCCGCAGAATTCCGGAGCCAAGTCTCCCCCTCTGCTTCAGGAGGCTCCAGGCAGGAGAGTCCGGAGGCCAAAAGTCAGCGGGCAAACGGAGGCATGGGGATGTGGGCAGGCGGCACCGCACGTAGCGTCTTTAAGGAGCGGGCGTCCAAGCTCCAAAAGCGAAACAAGAATGGGCAAGACCCCCTTCTTCCCTCCCTCCCTCCCTGTACCCCTCCAATGAGGAAGGCTAACGCGGCGCGCTCAGCCCGCCCCGCGAGCAAACAACTTGACAGCAAGCTTGGAGACTGACAGGGACAGGTAGCTGGTGTCCGATCCCGGCGACGGCGGCGGCGTGGGCCAAGCGCACCCCAAGCGCTCCCGAGCGCCCCTGCGCAGCGCGTCCCCAGCGCCGGCGAACCGGGGCCGGGGCTACCGCAGCTCAGCGCCAGCCACCCGGGCGGTCGACGGACAAGCTCTGCGGCTCCGCGCTTCCCTGTCGGCCCAGCATCTTAAAACCAGAGGCGGGCTTCCCGGCTGCAAGACGTCACTCCGCCGCGGCCCTCCCCAGCCCTCTGTGCCTCCGCCTCCTCCGGACCCTCGGCGGGCGGGAGTGACGCGGCCCCACACCAATCACGGCGCCCTGGCCACGGCGAGGGCTGGCCCGCGTGCACCTATCAGCGGCGTGGGACGGGCTGACGCGCGCCGGGCCCACCCGGGCCACACAGGCGCGCTCCCGGGAACTCTGCTCCGCCCGGCCGGAGGCGATCAGCTTTAGTTAGAACTTGGAGGTGGGGAGATAGCTAGGAATCGATGGCTTGGGAGAAAGGAGCAAGAAGGCCTAGGGGGGAAAGGTACAGGGCTCAACACGCCAGCCCCCCCCCCTTGTGTCTCTATATCAGTTCCAATTGCAACCCCTCCCGCTCCGTGCAGAAAGAGATATGCTACCTGAAACTGCAAAATATTAAAAACATCAGCAAATCACCTTTCCGAATTTAAAGTTTTTAAAACTGCCTGCCAGGTGAACGCCTGCGCCAATCTGAAGCAGCTTTACTTTCACTGCCAAGAAGATAGAGCCCCGGGAAGGGAGGCTAATAAATTAGAAATCGAGAAGAAAAAGGACCCGTCAAAAGAAAATTACCTTGACTTTAAACGAACAACTGCTTGGTAGTTCAATCTGGATTTACAAAAGAATAAAAAGTCGCCTCAAATCACGTCCTCTGTAATGCTTATTAGTCCCCAGACAGAACACACACAATAGAATAGAAACCCTAACCCAGCGTTTTCAAAATGCTGAAAGCTTATCCATTCTACTTAACGTTGATTAAGACACATATCCTAGATCTTTCAAATTCCTTGTACACTGTATTAAGCTCGTCCTAACCCGAGAGAGCCACGCTTTAAATTCGACTCTCTTGTTTACTTTATTATCAATCAAATTCAAATCCATAAAGCCGCAGAATCAACAACCTTGAGCTAATTATATATAAAATATGCTTTAATGTATTTCCATACAATTAAGAATGTTGCCAAATAACCAATTTCAAGGATAATTTTTAACAGTCATTTTCTTTTCCTAGGAGTCAAGGCTGTCTTGAATCATTAAAGTAAAAGCAGGCAGAAGCAGCAGTGTGTGGGCTGAGGCCCCTCCTCAGTTAGGAAAGGCAGAGCCTTATTCACTGTACAAAACAAAGCACAATAAAAATCACCTTTGGGGTCCTCAACCCTTTACAGCACTATTCCTAAGGCAATTTAATTTCCAAAGAAATTTCAAAAAGAAGTCCTAACACTCAAAACAATTTTTGAAAACCTTTGGTCAGCCTGGAGATGTAGCTCAGTGGTAGAGCTCTTGCCTACCAAGCCTGAGGCCCTGAGCTCAAGCAAGAGCACCAGGGGGAAAAAGAAAGAAAGAAAAAAAAAGTCCTTTGTTCCCCGGCTTAGATCTGCCAGAGAACACAAAGTAATCTCCTTGGGTTTCTGCACTGCGATTGTTTTATTGTGGAGTTAGTGTTATCCTCCTTGAATGTGTATTTGTTTGACATTACAGTCAATGATTTGCAACAGCAGTATGAGGTATTTTCAGAAAACCCCTCCTAGTCCTTGTTCACAAGATTGGGAAATCTATTCAGTCTGGGACTGAGCAGACAAGCAGGCAGCAGATCCCACTCACCTCCCAACCTCTTCCCTACAACCCTACTCTGATCTGCAATTCTTCTTATGTCTGAAATTCACTTGAAAGCAGTCTGAGACCTGGTCCCTTCAAACCAGCACTATCCCACTGTAAGAAGAAATTAGCTGCTGGGGGAACTTTCTTCCTTGTCAGGCTTGAATCAGCATTTCTGCTTTTAACCTTTTATCCCACTTCTCACCTCATTCCACACATACATGCATGCCTGCTCAGAGCAGAAGCACCCCATGTGACAGGTCTACATTAACTGAGGTTCCCACATCTAGCTGTCTTAGGACCCGCAATCTTATCACTAAATTACACATATTACACCAGCAGCCTGTTGGTAAAGAAGGTTAAATTAATTTACATTCTGCTCATTATCTGGTGCTTAAATGACGCATTTTATCCCTGAGATTTGGTGAGAAGCTCCTTTCCAGACCCCACAGTGTTCCGCTGAAGACAATGCTCTTACATTTGTAGTGGTTTTTAATCTGATAAGACTCTAATTTGCTTAAGTCTTTTAAATAAGGGCTTTAAATGTTTCTAGCCATTTTCTTATTGAATTTCCTCTAATTCCACCAAGATCATAAAGTATATGTGTAAAGTAAATATTTTCTCCCATTGCACCGCCAGCCAGTGACCTACACCTAAGTCAATATGAATCCAGCTCTTTTCTGCCCAACGTGTTTACTATTCATATTCCAGTTTCTTCCTTTAAACCTCGGTATAGCTGTGGGCCACTCCACATCATGCCCCCTTAAAATTTCATTTCACCAAGAGACTCCATCATTTCAAAAAAAGAAAAATCCTCCACTGCACTGAGCAAATGCTCTTCTTAGTCGTAAGATTCAAACTCCGGAGATACAGAACGTTTTTAGAGCCTTGTGGGCTGTTTTTCACCACTTCTTATTCTGGAAAGCTGAGAAGCTTCACAAAGCCATATAGATTTCCCAGTCCATCTCTCATTAAACCCACAGACTTTGGCTTTAAGCTCCAGTAGCTCTGCACTTCTGATGGAACTTTCATCATGACAAATACACACACATGGAGGGCTCCAAGGAGCCTCCAAAGAGGGTTCCACCTCAGGAGTAAGCATGGCAGATGTTGGAATTGCCAGGTATCTGTGGGCAGCCGCGAAAGCCAAAAAACATAGGGGATCTTAAATTGTGTGGATATGCTGAATCAAGAAGCTAGGTCAGAAATTATCTAAAGAATACTCATTGAAAACAGTTGCCCACAGTGTGAATGTGTATGCATATTTATCTGTATTACACACATGCATGCTATATACACACATATGTATCTAGATACATATACAGTGTATGTATACGCAGATAAATGCGATGCATTCATTATACTATATATAAGACATATACACTGTAATCTCCAGATCTCTAAACGGTGAACTCAAAACAAGAATTTTATTTGCATTTTTTCATCTGGAGGGAGGTCCAACCCTCTGCTTATCTGTTTATCACTTTAACACTCTGAACATCTTCGATCCGGTGATGCTCTTTCCTGACCCAAAAGGATCCTTCCAAGAATGGCAACAAAACACCAATATAAGAAGTGTAGACAGGGAGAAGAAGGATGTGTGCGGAGTCCAAGAAATCTGTTTTAAGGAGAATGTCATGGTGGCGAGAAGGACTGGAAACTTAATCTCTGTAAGCCTTGCATACGGGACAGGCGCATGGATGAAGAAGGTTTCACCGGAAGGCAAGACATCTTATATATTTTCTGAGTTTGGCACTGTGACTTCCGACTGGATTCTTCTGGATGGGCTCTAGAAATCACCAGAATTTCAGCTTCCCTAGGACAATTTTTCTATCCAGAAAAAAAGAGTCTTTGCCGTACTCGCCTCCTGAGCAGGGCAGGGAAAGGAAGCCCAGTGTGAGGTTGAGGTTGGAGTCCAAGAGACTTGGGGGTCATCTCAGCTGGATTTTCTTTCCAGCTTTTTCAAAGAAAGACCCTCCAGGAAGAAAATGTGACACGGGGTCAGGCGTGTTCTGAGCTGTATTTGCCACTGATTACCAGTCTTAAAGTCTTATTTAATTTCACACTCTTTAGTGTGAGTTGCGCAAACCCCCTCAGGCCTTGGTGGTAAGCAGTCAGGCAAGGTGGCCAGGCCACTTTTCCTAATTTTGGTCCACTGTGGGCTGGGGTCCAATCACACAATCTCCCAGTTTTGGAAAGAATCTGCCCAGAGCTCACCTCGATGATGGTTCAATTAGATGCCTCTCTGAGCTGTCAGGCCATGGAGCAGGAGTCCTGCCCAGCCCAACTCAGCCCAGCCCAGGTCAGGCCAGCTCAAGGACGAAGCCACTCGCCCAGCTTACAGCTGAGACAGGTGCTATGAGTGTGCATGGGAGTGGGAGGCTGAGGTCAGGTGGAGACCTTGCACCCCACGCTTCCAGAAGTGGCCTTTCCTCTCCTACCACCAGGTTTTCCCTGCATGAACCCTAACTGGACAGTGTCCCTTCCCCTTGTAGCCAAGAAACTGACCAAAAAATAAAAAGCTTTTTTGAGGTGACGTTTTCTCATTTCCTAAATGGGGTTTTGCAAAAGGGGTGGGTTCTTTTTGGAATCAGAACTCTGTAGATGTACTGGGTCATGTGGACCAGATATCGCTGGATCCCTACAAATGACACCCATTTCTGATGCACAAGCTGTAGTTGCTCACACTTTTGAAGTTTGAGATTACTGGGGAGGGGTCCTCGTGGGAGGTATGCACTCCAGAGAGAGCCCAGAGAGAATTTGAAGAAAAGGTTTTGATGTACTTGAACCAATATGCACCCTTTACTTCCTCACACACTCACATGTGAGTGTGGTAGACTCACTAGGCACTCACTTAATCTTTAGAAAGCAACTATTTTAGGAAGTATTTAAAATAAAAAGATGGTACAGTGTACCTGTCTTAATGAGATGGGGGGGGGGAGAGGAAAGGATGGAGAGAAAGAGACAGAATGAATTGGAGATTGAATACATCCAGGCTTGGAGACAAAGACATGGCAAGGGGCTAACTGAAGTCACTTTAAAAACAATTAAATTAAAACACTCTTTTCAGCTGATGTTCATCCTCCCTTAATTTTTTTTTTCTCATTCTCTTCTTTTCTGTTTTTCTCTCTCCCAGACATGCTGGTAGCTAACATTCAGCATTAGTTGTCATGGTGACCATAAATCACATAAATCCAAAAATACCTACCTATAATCTGAGATGAAGCTTTTATTTCCCTAGTGAAATAATATTTTAAAAGCTGTCAGCTGACGAAAAAAAAGAACCTACCTCATTGTAGTAACCCAAGTAATATATTACTTCTAAAGGTTTAAATTAAAATGTCAGCTTGTTCAAAACATGCTGGGAGGAACATAGGCACCCTTCATGTCAGAGCCTCGAAAAGAAGTTGATGCCCTCAGCCTCATGGTTCACACACACACAGACACACAGACACACAGATACACAGACACACAGACACACAGACAGACACAGAGACATACACAACATTCATACACTCTATTTCCATTTGTTTCTTCTCTCTGTTCTATTCCCAATTACCTCGCTCTTTATAGACTCCTAGCATTGGACTGTAAAATAATGGAGTTGCTACACAAATCAGGATGGAGCCTGGTCTACTGATAAGTGTTTGGAAACCTTAGGTGTCACTCAGGGGTTGTTCGTGACCAGTTGTGTCCCCTAGTGAAAATAAAGTCTTGGGAAACAAGAACGTAGGAAGGGCCATACAGGACCAGGATCCTAAGAGGGTCAGGGGAAAAGGGAAGGATTGGAGGGGGGAGGCAGGATAGGTAGCAAGGTGCAGAGTGGCCAAGTCTAACCCAGAAACGGCAGTGATAGGCTCCCCCTTCTGCCTTTTTCCCCAAGAGAGGAAACTTTCCTAGTTGGAGACCCTGGGGAGGGGCATGTGGCCACTGTCGGGCCTTTTGTCTTCTACCTTGGGCTTGTTGTCTTTTGCCTATCTTGGATTACTGGGTATTCGCCT